AGATATGAAAAGGGAAGGTGTTAGCACCCTTTTCACCCGTAGTTATCTACTGACTCTTAATTGCTTAACTCACTTTCGAAAATTTTGCTTTGTGTGTGTGATTTGTTTGAGAATATTTTGAAATCGCCAATGTAAAGCTGACTTTGTAATGATTCCTGTATCAGTCCTCAATAATGTACACAAAGTGTTATTTTTGAAAATATTTGTTTGAAAGTGTAGTGTGAAAAAAAGTTTTGAGAAAAGTTGTGAGCATGCAATTAAAAGTTTCTTACCCACTAAAGTCTTTCTTGTTCTTTTCCTTCTCCTTTAGAGATAGTACTATCCATACCATTAGTTGGTAGGTAGCCCTATCTATTGGATGTGAAGGGACGGGCGTAGGGTCATCGTATGGCCATCGAAGGCAACAAGTAAGGATACTTTAGCAATTGTATCGAAGGGACTATCATCATTTTGTAGGCAACTCGAAGGGACTAGATCATTTTATAGGCAGCTCGAAGGTTCATCGAGGGATTATGATATTTATTCGAAAGGGACATGATGATTTGATTGAGGGTCTTTTACTAAAGTATCTCCACTTTCGAGGGACGTGGCCAATATTCGTAAGTGATACATCCCTTTATGCTAAGGAGTGCTATATTAGGGAATTCCCCACAATGGTTAATAATAGTGATATCCTCTTGAGATCAGGAACACCAATAAATATTTGAATGAGAGAGTGACATCATCCTTTGAGACCACCTTAAACCTTGTTCATTCTTCATCATTGTTCATGGAAGGTGAAAAATAAACCAACTGGATAGTAAAGGGTATGTAACATATAAGAGTCCCTCGCTTCCTCATAGTACGAGTGTGAAGAGAATGCAAAATATATCCAATCAAAGTAGGCACAAGATTATGAGTAAGAAATATTTTGATGGCATTCACATCTATAAGTTTGTCTGGATTAGGGAATAGTACCAAACCATAGATCAATAAAGCCAAGATATCCTCAAAAGAATTAAAACTCATAGCATCCAGAAACAACTGAGCCTTATCTATCAAAGATTTATCAAGAAGGCCCTTGACTCCAATTCTTGTTTCCCAATTAGATACAATTTCAGACCGCTTCAGATGTAAGGCTGCTGCAATATCCTCAGGTTTTGGAACTTTCTCTAAACCGGTGAAGGGTGTCTGATCAAGAATAGGTACTCCGAGTACCTTAGAGAATTCTTCAATTGTGGGTACTAACTGATAATATTTTAGTGAATTGAGAGTTCTCGGGAACCTTTGAGTCTAACTCCTTAAGCTGGGAAGGTACCATTACAAAGTTGATCTGGATAGTGTTTCTACGAGTGGAGGCCATAACCTACAAAAAAGAACAAAGGTAAATCCCTAGGTCATTAAAATGGTTACTGAAAATGTTATGATATGATCATATGATGTTTTGATGTCATGTTCATGTTATATAAGTAGAAAACACATACAAGTCACATAAGATCCTTAGGTTTAAAGGCTTGCATGAAGTCCATAGGTAAGTACCCTTCCCCATTGAAGTTAAGTTGGCTCAACCTGTCCTAAAATAGTAACCGGGTTCTAGGAATCTCATATCACTGATCTTTCTCGCAAGCTTTATTTTAGCACGGAAACTGGCTTGCCACCAAAACATCCTGAAAGTCAAATCTCAATGAGTGTAGTTTCGAGTAACAACCAACCTTAGACTGCACCAAATTCGGCTATCTCACTACCTTCTAATGTCCAAGATGGGCCAATTGAGGTTCTAAAAGTAAGTTAGTGTTAACAACACCACGCGAAATCCTAATGTTATCCTTGAATGACTCAAAGAACATCAAAATAAACCAAAGTGTCACACTAACTGTAGCCATAATGTTAACCATATCGGTCTATGCCACACAACCTTTATGATCTATTTCTACTTACCTAAGGCATCCCTAGATCTGGGTGTAGGATCTTACAAGAAAGTAAACCCAAACAAACCCTTAAAGTAAAGCAAGCAAAACATACAATTAAAAGCAAGTAAAGTGATTTTAAACTCTAAAGTAATCCCTCTTTTTTAAGTAGTACTCCCCAGTAGAGTCTCCAGTTCTATAATACGGTGGGAGAACTGACTTTTTGGTTTTATCCAAATGTGTGGGTAGCTAGAGACGGCACTGAGTTTTCTTTTATCCAATGTTTAGGAAAGGTAAAAAGAACAGGAAAGACCTTTGATAAATTTTGAGTTCGGGGGGTAAGATATGAAAAGGGAAGGTGTTAGCACCCTTTTCACCCGTAGTTATCTACTGACTCTTAATTGCTTAACTCACTTTCAAAATTTTTGCTTTGTGTGTGTGATTTTTCTGAGAATATTTTGAAATCGCCAATGTAAAACTGACTTTGTAATGATTCCCATATATGTCCTCAAGAATGTATACAAAGTGTTATTTTTGAAAATATTTGTTTGAAAGTGTAGTGTGAAAAAAAGTTTTGAGAAAAGTAGTGAGCAAGCAATTAAAAGTTTCTTACCCACTAAAGTCTTTCTTGTTCTTTTCCTTCTCCTTTAGAGATAGTACTATCCATACCATTAGTTGGTAGGTAGCCCTATCTATTGGATGTGAAGGGACGGGCGTAGGGTCATCGTATGGTCATCGAAGGCAACAAGTAAGGATACTTTAGCAATTGTATCGAAGGGACTATCATCATTTTGTAGGCAACTCGAAGGGACTAGATCATTTTATAGGCAGCTCGAAGGGTCATCAAGAGATTATGACCTTTATTCGAAAGGGATGTGATGATTTTATTGAGGGTCTTTTACTAAAGTATCTCCACTTTCGAGGGACGTGGCCAATATTCGTAAGGCAATAAGAGAGGTTATCCTAGAGGTGCAAGTGTGCGAGGTGTATTGATTTAGTTATTTATCTTGAATATTAAGGTTCTCTAGATTTTTTTAAGTTTTTCCATGCAAACCTTAGTTACTAGCAGTTAAATATGTACAGAAATTAAATTGCGGAATGTAAAATCCTAAGCTATTACATGGCTTTGGGAGAGGTACATAAGTATAAAAATTTGCGAGAAAGTAAATATATGCAATTACATCCTGTGAGCAGTTACATAATTAGGAAAAAAATGCGAGAAAAGAAATCTACACTATTACAATTACAGAATGCAACCTATACAATTTTCTATGAATTTAAATAACAATAAGAAATAAGAAAAGGTGTTAGAAAAATGTTTTAATTTTTTTTTTGTATTTTTATAAAATGATCTAGGGTTAGGGATGATAATTAAATCCTAATAGTTAATTAATTAAGTTAATTAAAAAACAAAACCCTAATGTCTAATTAATTAAGAAGAATTATTTGGCTAAAACCCTAAAAATAATTAATTTTAATTAAAACGTAAGGTCTAATTAATTAATTAATTAAAAGAGAAACCCTAATTCTAGTTAATTAACAAAAAAACTAGGCCTAATTTGGCTAAGGGTTAATGTTTAATGAGAAAAATAGAAAATTAAAAGGGATGAAAAACAAGGGTTAGAAAACTGAGAAAATAAGATGCATGGGGTGGGGATAGAGTTAGGAGAAGATTAATTCTTTTGAATTTTCCCTAATGAAACAAACTAGAAAAAGAGTTTGAAATAATCTCTAAAAAATAATTTCTGGAAAAAATGCTTAATATATCATATAAAATATTAATCACTAATTATAACAAAGTTTAATAGATAATTATATAATAATATAAAAAAGGTTTAAACCTATTATAATAAATCTCACACCAAATATTAGATAAACGAACCAACATAATTAGACCGAAATTCAAACATATGTGTTATACCCCAATTTCCCCCCTAAGATCCCTCATCACATCATATATATCTCATGCATTTTTTTAAGTCAATGGTTAGGGGATCGAAAGGCTCTTTGGCATTAGGGTTTTTCTCTATGGACTGAGATCTTTGGTTCAAAGTTCAGTGGTGGTGCGATATTAGGGTTTCACAATGGTTAAGGTGTTCGTATCCAATAAAGGCTGATTTCTTATTCAGGCAATGAGCAGTGGAATTAGGGTTGTGATCTGGGTCACTGAAAATTTCTTTCTTCATCAAGCAACGAGGCTATCAGGGTTTATTTTCCTATATGCGATCAAAGCCAGTTTTTTTGGCAATTATGCTCCAATCTAGTTTTTCTTCAAAGATCATGAAATTAGGGTTTATTTTTTTATCAAGGGGATTTCTTAGAGAGCCCTATATTATGTGTCAGGAATTATCATCTTCAAGGGAATTTCTTAATTATTTTAGCCTTACGTTTACAAGTGGACATGTTTATGACTTGAATTACAAAAGCTGAAGCACAATACAAGATATGATGCGAGGGAGCATTAAGTGAGTCAGAAGAATATGAATAAAGGCTTTGAATTTGGGCAAAGGCAATATGGAGAGGTTGTTTTCTTTATTGGGATCATGCATGAATATTATTGATTCGATTGAATGCTATGTCATATCTTGAGTTCAAGACTTGTTCATTGAATATGCAAGTTGGTTGGAATTCGTTCATTGAGTTATCAAGTGAAGTGTTTCGAAGATAATCAAATGGAATTAAAAAAAAATCTAAGCATTAGTTTGTTTTCACGAATTTGATTCAAGCTTAGTCATAAGAGTTTCTTGGAATGGAAAAGATAAGATACAAATGGAAAGACATTTTCATTCGTTCTAATTCCATTCAAGTGTTCAGTTTTGTTCAAGTTTGGCAAGTGGATTAACATTCCAAAACTACAAGTTTCATTCAAATTCTTGGATTCAAGCTTATTCATGATTTGATTTGGGATGTTTATTTCAATTCCAATCACAAGACTAAAACAACTTCCATTTATATCAAAAATTTCTAAACAAGTACGAGATACCATGTCTCAACATTGCAAAATCAAAGGCCATAAACCAAATTCAATTAAATCCAAAACCCAATCATATCACCTATGTTGCATTTCAAAGATAGCTATAAAAATGTTACAAGTTAAGGAATTTCCTAATTTTACGAGCTTCGTGTCAAACTTCATGCTTCCAAATTCTATGCACCTTGTTATGCCATGCTAGTTTCAGCTTTGCACCATGGACCATTGGATCAAACCATACAAACCATGTTATAGCCCTGCGCATTCAATTTAACAAAACCAGTTAAAAATCCAACACAGGCCTGCAGCCTGCATTAATAAGGTCAGAAGGAGTGTTTTCACACCAAAATAGAAAGTCAGAAAAAGATCCAAACAAAAGTTGAACTACATAATAAAACTAGAAGAAAAATAAAAAAATAGAAATAACGAGTCTACTGCAGATCGAAACAGAAGGAAAATATATATCAAGCCAAGAGTAACACACTGCAAAAAAAATCAGTTTGAGGCTAGCTGTTCAATAAAACCATAACAAACCTGATAACTGAATTATTCCTAATGGTAACTACCTTAGCAGATTTCTCTAACCAACTCACTCTCAAAACAGAATTCCACATAATTATCTACGACCTCCAATCTCATCCATCAAAAATACCTAACAAACATTCACATTAACGATTCAGATTGATTCAGTTTTTAACTAACTTTCCACGAATTTAACAAATTGATAACTTATTCTTACCGGCATTCAAGGAGGATTCCTCAATTCTAGAAAGAATCACAAAAAAACTCTATCTTCACTCTCATCTTCCTTCTTCTTTATTTTGAGTCTTCATCCCTTTCACTGGTATCTTGGTCCATCTTTAAAACCTCTGCAACCTCTCTTCAACCTTCAATCCACTCCCTCCCTCTGAGCACTCCATCACCATAGTCGTTTTTCACCGCAACCCACACCTTCTTTATAGCAATAACCTCCATCTCAAACTCTTCTCTATCAGTCTTCATCTTCAGTCTTTGAGCATATCATCTCCAGGCTCCCGCGTTCACACATATTTTCTTCCATTACGAAAACATCACTGCATCAACAAATCGTCACGATTTCAATGATCTTCGTTCTGCAATCAACAACAACACTTTAGCGAGCTGCTTCCATCCACAATCAACAAAACGAGGAAGGGTGCAAAGAATCAAAAAAGGAAGAAAAAGAGAAGATGCAAATGTTGAAGAAGCACCAGATAGTTTCTCTGGTAGGTAAGATATATTGTTTTCTCTTCTTAACTTTGTATGCTTCTCGAACATTGAGATCAGAACTGAGATGAAATTTTGAATCGAAATCTGAAACGGAGGTATGAACATGTTGAAACCGCGTATAAGCGTGAAGGAGATGAAAACAAATTGTGAACGAAATTGAAAGGAAGAGTTCAACGGAGCTACGGTGGAAGGCGGTCATAAATGTCAGATTGAGCAATGAAGTTGAAGAAGGTGAGCAACTTTCGTCAGAGATGTAGTAGAAGAACGTCACGGCGTCGTGTCGAGAAGAGGTGAAGGAGTCAGGTTTGGCTGCGACGTGTTTCTTTGAGAGAGGAGAGGGACTTTTTCTTATCGTAGGATTTGGATAGTCACAAACTCTATGGTTCTTCTCAAACGCAGTCATTTTGGGATTCTTGGCTGATTTCATTACGAATCCCTCCCTACTTGGCCCGTTTCTTCTTATTTTTGGAGTTTTGAAGGATTGGAATAAAGTCGTTTCATGGACCCTTGTTGAAATGGGCCTTACGCCTATGGCCATGTTTCTCTCCACACTCAACCACCATTCCCCAAGCCCACTCAAATTTTTGGAAGCTGACATGTTCTGTGAATAAAAACCTTGTTGGGCTACAAGCTGATTGGACCTAGCGCCAAATTTCTACAACACCCCCTGATTTCAGCTTAATACCCCCTTTAGTTTAATTTTCTCTTGAAATTTCCATGACATTTCCCTTTTTTTGTTATGGATTTTTGATTTAAAAAAATTACAAAATCGATAAGACTTGTTAGTTATTTTTAGGAGCTAATTCTCTAGTTTTTGATAGTTTTTTTTGTCCATAATAAAAACAATAAGGGATAGTAGAATATAATAGATTTTTTTTTTAGAATTCCTTTTGTAGAATTTTGATTAGAAATTTTTATTGTCAATTATGTTTAGTAATAATTTTGTTACTTGAGACTTGTGACGCACCTTTGCTTGTTGAGATTTGAGTCTTATACATGTTTATTGTGTGATATATGGATATGCTCGAGATTTCGATTGTGATTTATTTTCATATCGGTGATGCTTTGACACTTATTTCGAGAATTTGATTTCTGACTCTTTTCTTTGATTGGCGAAGCTTTCGTAAAGCTCGTCGGGTTTCTTTTTTTTTATACATTTTGCTACGGATAGATATATGTTTGGTATTTTCTCTTGTTTATCTCATTTCACACTTTATTGCTTTCTAGATATCATGAAAAGTAGGGACTTTACTGATATTTAGATATCATGAGAAGTAGGAAATAAAGCATTTTGCAAGTTACATCTTATTCCCGCTTCTTGGCTTCGGGTGATCCGCTCCCCTTAGTTAAAGCATTTTGCTTCTTTTCTTTACCATTTTATGTGTGTGCTCCTTCGAGCTTGCTTATTTTATCCTTGTATATACCATGTTCCCTTAGGATATGCTTGTTCCTTTCGGATGCAAGTTAGACCTTAGGTTGCAAACCATGCATGCTAACATAGGGTGGAGATTTCCATTTTTATCTTTGACATAGGGCCATCATTGTATGATAACACTAGGTTAGAGATAGGTTAGTCTCCCTTAGCTGTTTTCTTCCCATTTTTGCATAATTGCATTTAAAACTAAAACTTATTTTTCTTAGCAAATGTATAAAAAGTGATAAGCATACAAAAATTCATTTCATGGTAAAAAACCACCAACCAATCCATTTATTTTTGCCATTGGGCTTTTCTATTCTAAGAATGTGTTCATTCCTTTCCACTACAGTGCGTGAGTCTCCAACGGTCGAGCTGCGGTAGAATGATTGAGTTTATTATTGTTCATTTAAAAAATAAAAACAAGCAAAAAATATGTGAGTCGAACTACGTCTGCTCTGATTCCTTAAAAGGGATACGTAGGCATTAGGGTAGGGCCTGAACGAGCACAACTTTTATTCTCCCTACATTATTTTCTACATTATTTGCATGCATTCCCTCTTAGCATTTTATAGCTCTTAAGCATTAGATTAGACACACCCTTTTATTAGAACAACAAGAGTGGACCCCGTAGAGTACTACAGACGTGTGGGGTGCTAATACCTTCCCCTTGCATAACTGACTCCCTTACCTAATCTCTCGGTCGCAGAACCTTGATTTCCCCTTTAGGTTTTTCTTCGATGATTTTCCTTTCATTTTTATATGGGATAAATAAATACTCGATGGCGACTTTATTGATTTTACCGATACAATATGCAAATATTCAGTCATACAATTAAAGGTTAAGTTTTACCACCCTAGAATGCAGTGACCCACTTAAGTTGCTTCCTTTCTTTGTTCTTCATGGTTTTTCTTTCCTTTCTCCAATGTGATTTCCTGGATAAATACCAGATTCTGAAGGCTTAGAGCTTATTTTCTATTGTTCTTTTATGTGAAGAACAACAACTTTAGGAGAACTCTAGTGAGTTATGGATGATTAGGAAATTGTAGATGAAAAATAGTGTGAAGAGCAGTCTATTTATAGATTTGGAATTAGGTTAAAGACATCCCGAAAAGGAAATAGTCAACACCAAGAAAAGACCAAAGTTTATGATTTTATCTTGGTCAGCAAGTCTACAAACTCTGACCAATGAGAAATCAGTTTTGTCAACATGTGACCAATCAGAAAGTGACAAATCATGTAATTTTGTTGTTTCTATATTTTATATGATTTTTTGGTTATTTTTTAATTAAAAATTGAAAAAAGTGAGAAAAAAAAACTATTTTTGAAAATTTATTAATTAAAAAATACAAAAATAATAATTTAATAATAAAAAAAAGTGATTTTTTTGGGAAGATTTATACCAATTGAGATTTGATTGAAATTTGGAGGACAAGATTATGAACCTAAACACTTCTGTGATTTTTTCTCAATATTGTGATTGATTTGGTAATTAATAAAATTTGATTTTGAAAATTTTCAATTATTTTTAATAACTTGACTATTAAGTGTATAAAATCAAAGATTTAGAAAAATAAAAAATAATTTTAAAATACAAAAATAATAATAAAATAATTGAAAAATGAGTTTTTTATCCTTTTTATTGAAAAAACACACAAAAGAAAATAAATACCAAAAATTAGTGTAACGAGACTTGAACTCAGGACCTTCCATTTACTTGCAAGCCTCACTTCCTTACCAACTGTAATATGCCATTTTATTCAAGATAAAAAGACATAGGAGTATATGAAGGTGGAATAATATTTTTCTATTTTAAAAATAGAAATAATTTAAAGTAAATTATTATACATTTTAAATAAGCAAAATAAATTACTGTTAAACCAAATTGTATTAATATCCAAAAAAAATGAAACCAAGTTTAAAAATATTTTAAAAATGGGGCGAACAAATTTGGGGTACAACAGAAAGGATCAATGAAAGTAACGGATGGAAGGATTATGGATAGATGAAGCAAAAATTCCCTCCCAACTTGAAGGTCGCTCACTGGTTAAAACTTTCCATAGACCGAATGTTGTCGATGTCCAATCGGCTTTTGGAGTGATTCAGTAGTGCACTTCTCCTCCACGACGAAAACGTAACTAATCCCTCAGAGCCTCTTGATTCATAGAGTATTCATCGTTAAACAATCTAAAATTAGCAGTGCCCGTGAGGTACATGTTGTCATTTGTTGGAGTGTTGTAGGAGAATTAGCTCAAAAATTCCAAGGTCCAAAGATTCATAAGTTATATGGTTCAGGGTTTTTCTTTCTCTTCTACCTCAGCGCTTTCATCTCCCTTCTCATTTTCTTTTGGTTCGTCTTCCTTCCCAGTTGGTTTACTAGCGCTCTGGTACATGGCTAGACTTTTGATTCTTGGGTCAGTTGGTCCTTCTACTTACGTTCCACTTCGAAGTGTTATTGCATTAGCATGACCTTTCGGATTTTGTTGTCGTTGGGCAAGAAAAGTGCCAGTTGGAGCAGCTGTAGCCGCTTGTTGCTGAGCCACTTGAGAGATTTTCGTTTTAAGCATTTTTTTATGAGTGGCAAGGGCATCAACATTGTTTGATAGTTGCTTTATTTGTTAGTGTGTATGTTTTGATTCATAAAATCTTTGTTTTGTTGAGCTTGAGTGGCTACGAATTTTTCTATCATGATTTCTATATTGGATTTCTTATGAACATTTGGAGTAATTTGGGCGGATTTCTGGTATCCTGAGGGTGTAGTAAGAGCTTGTCCATGTGCATATAGTGCATTGTTGTTCTTGTACGGAAAGTTTGGATTATTTTTCCAAGTAGGATTATATGTATTCCTGTAAGGGTTTCCTTGAGCATAATTCAATTGATCAACTAGTACTCCTGTTAAAAGTGGACATTCAGGCGTAACATGTGTGTGAAGTCCGCATAAATCGCATGTTGGAGCTACTGCAACCATGGTGGGTGAGGGAGTTATGGTTACATTTTCTATTTTTTGGACAAGAGCTTCTACCTTAGCGTTAACCTGGTCTAAATTGCTAACTTCATACATACCACCTTTCGTCTGAGATTTCTCTATAATGGTTCTATCACTTCCCCAGTGGTAATGGTTTTGAGCCATACTTTCGATAAGTTGATAAGCATCATGATAAGGTTTGTTCATCAGTGCGCGTCCAGCTGCAGCGTTAATCGTTAGTGTTGTGCTGTGCAAGAGACCATTGAAAAAGGTGTGGATGTTCATAAATTCTTATAGACCATGATGTGGAAAAAGTCACAACATGTCTTTGTATCTTTCCCATGCGTCGAAGATAGATTCGATTTCCTTTTTTTTTAAAACCATTGATATTGGCTCTTAGCATAGTAGTTTTACTCGGCGGAAAATGTCGTGCTAGAAAACTTTCTTCAACTCGTTCCATGTGGTAACAGAGTTGGATGGTAGAGACTGGAGCCAAGCTCTAGCTCTATCTCGTAATGAAAAAGGAAAAAGACAAAGTCTTATCGCTTCAGGGCTGACACCATTTGCTTTCATTGTGTCTATCTGTGTACTGCACAAACAATGATAAATGAAGATTCAGATCGTCCGTAGGACATCCTGAAAACTGATTTTGTTGGATAACTTGTAATAACAAAGGTTTCAACTCGAAATTGTTCCGAGCGATAGCGGGGGGCAACAACGATGTTGTGAGGTTCCTCTTGCGATGGGGCAGCATAACCCTTCAGATGACGATTTTGGGGTCCTTCGGCCATTCTTGGTTCAGGAAGAGATAAATCGGGAAGATTGAATTTGGCAAGATTGTACTTAATTTGGTATTCTCTAATTCAGCATCTTATACTAACGAAATGCTCGACCTCATCGATTGGTTGCTCTGATTCTTTGCCTTGAGAGTGAGTGCTTGGCATATGATCAACGGATAAAAAGGAAATAAAATTGGTTGCCTTAGTCTATAATACGTAACCAAGGATTCACAATATCGACTAAATCAGTCCCCGACAACGGTGCCAAAAACTTTATCGCGACTTTAAGTGTCTATCGAATGTATTAACTGCAAGTGCAAAGTTTAATCGCGTAGTTTTAAAAGATATCAAACCCACAGGGACTGGTAATCGAATTACAGCTATCTAAAGCTACTGTGTAAATCTAAGGCTAATAAATCTTAGGTTTTGGGGTGGACAA